TCGATGATATCAAAGAATCGGATATCCTTGTGTCCCTATAAACATTAGCGTATGCATTCGTATTATTTTGGCTTAATCCATTGTTTCGTATTCGACAACATAGTGCGACGGCTGGAATTTTTGGTAAAATGCCCTTTGAACTTATGAAATCTATGAATTTTAAAGTTTCGTTAATTGCTGTATCTATTTGTTTGAACTATATTTTACTTATTGATGCACTTATTTAGTTGCTTTATAAAAGCTGTTCTCATCTACGGCTCTTAATCTTTCCTATATGACGTTTTACACTACAAAATTGAGGATATCTAGTTTTCATTATTTTTAAATCATGACTTAAATTTTACCAGACCCGGCCTTCAGAACTCGGTGCACTCCTACTTAACGGCCCATTTACTGTGTGGCGTGAAGAATCTCGCCTCAAGTCTTGCCAACGTCATGTCTTCCTTTTCGAAAATGCCCTTCTTCTCACCAAACTACGAACTAGCCCTCTGCCTATTCCGACTCCACTCTCTACTTCCAGCATCACAGGCACCACAACCACAACGTTCGCAGCAATCGCTTCGATAAACTCTTTGACATCCAACAACATCACACTCGGTTCTGGTACACTTGGCTCAGTTCCTATTGCCTTGCCGGCTGGTGGAACAGTAAACAACTTTGGGGTTCCTATGATAACTGCCTCTCAGCCGAATTTTTTGACTGCGGTCCAAGCCAGCCCGCCCTTCCAGAATCATGGCAATGCTTCTAGCTACAGCAACACTAGTCTGTCTTCGGAGCTCTATTTTGTTCCTCCTCGCACATTCCATCATTCGTTATCCACTAAGCAGACTAATGGAGAAGAGCGTGATGCTGGAGGTACTGTAGAGATTCTGTGTGACCATCGGCCCACCAGGCAGCTGCTTTCTGCTCGTGCACTCTTAATGTCACAGACAGCTTCTGCTCTTGGATCGGATGTTTCATCCACTTGTGGTCCTTTCTATGAGGTCAAAGAGGAACTGCCGGTAAGCTACGAGCCCCTATCTCTTACTACAATTGTTTTCGTAAGGAGTTATGGCAGAATGGTTGAATGCATCATCTGATCGAAAGCTGCCTATTCAGCTATCGTAAAGTTCCTTCCTTTATCTTATCGCAGATTGTGACCGTACTTAGACTTTTTAGCATAAAAATAATTAATTAAATTTGGCGAACTGATGACACCTTAAATGAAACAAGATAAATACAATTATAATTGTATAAATTGATTTGGATCTATTTTATATTTACAGACTGTCCCTATTTGCCCAAATTCCTTGCTTCAAAAAATGTTTGTTTTATGATTATTTAATCGAATACTCACTTGATCGGATAAAAGGTTAACGGGGTAAGTTTATCTTCTTTGTCACTACTTCACTTGTTATTCTATAAATCTGATTTGTTTTAACTTCGTTCACCAGCTTCTTCAAGAAATTTTGCCAACCAACGAATCCAGGTTTCGAAAAATAAAATTTTGCAGGAGTATTTCCAAAACAAAAGAAAGTTAATAATTTCACTTAACGTTGAATAGTATCAAATTAGGTCAGAATATCATTCACTTTACAGGAAGGACCATTAGGCGACCGATAATTAGATCTCGTAATGGAATCTTCATCTTAGCTAAACTTTGGACTTGTTATGTAGATTTAGTATATAATCTTGATAGTCACGAAACACAAAAACATGTATTTTTATCATTCATTGCTTATCCACTACTAACAGATTTTTTTGCTAATTAAGTTATAACAAAAACATCATTTTACTCACTAGTTTATTAGGCCTCTTGGTAGCCCTTGTCACTCATGTTTTTTATATGTCTAGCAGAACACGCAGCACCGACTTATTTGTCTGGGATCTTGACCCTACTTTATCAGCAACAATTTAGTGATCTTTTAGCTTAATACTTCAACCAAAATAGTATAAAAGTTGTTTGACCTTGTTTTCGCAACTTGGTCATAATGGTAGGAAGACTGATAGAAACGCACC